GGCGGAAATATGGGGGTGGAAGAGAAGAGAGAAGTAGAGGCAATGCAAGAAAGATGGATTAGGTGGACGTTAGGAGTGGACTGGTGTACGCCGGGATACATGGTAAGAGAGAAGATAGGAAAGGATAAATTTAAGATAAAAGCAGGAGAGAATATGGTTAATGGATATAGCAGTAGGGTATGAGAAGAAATTGGAGGAAGTTTAGTGAGGAAATGATATGAAAAAAAGAGTAAGAAAAGGAAAGCAGAGATCAGTTTAAGAAAAAGAGAGGGCAAAATTCTTTGAAGAAAGAGGAAAAGAAGGGAAGGAGATGAAGGAAAAGAGAGGAAGGGGAGAGAAAGTATACGAGAGATGGGAGCAGAAAGACAAAGAAATGCAGAAAGAGGAAAGATGGGAGAGGATAAGGGAATCGAGATATAATAGATAGTATGGAGAATGAAAGAAGGAGAGATTAATATTCGAAAAAGGGATGGGGGGAAAGTAGATGGAGAAGGATAATAAGGTTTAGAATGAACAATAAAATGAGAGGGGCGAGATACTGGAAAGAAAAAGAGAAAAGAAGATGTAGGCTATGTGGATTAGAAGATGAAACATGAGAACATGTAATAGGAGAATGTGGTAAAGAAGGGAGTAAAGGAAATTGGTAGGAAAGAATGAAGGAAATACTGCAAGAGGGAAAAGAAGGGGAAAGATGGATGAAGGAATTAGAAATGTTGGCCGATGGCCTTTATATCGTCGTCGACAGATGCTCGGTCCTCAGATTCCACACAGATGGATATCGCTCGGGTTATTAATCCAATCAGGATGTGAATTAAAGATTAGTGATATATATATGTATTATGTTCCAGTTAAAAAATGTATTTATTGCGATCCTCTATATATATATCGTAGAGTCGTTACAGACGCCGAAGATTTCGCTGTAGTTTGCGCCGCCAGAATGATGACTATAATTATGATCCCTTTTCTCTCGAAGATCTCCATATTTATACTCGTTGTCCAAAAAGTATTCCCACCCCAAAGTATAAGACCAATCGGAGCAGTTTTCATTTGAACAGCTTAAATCGTTTAGTCTTCACGAAAAACAATAACTTTGGCGAACGAGAGAGATTCGGTTTACGGTCGCACAAATAAATAAAAATGTAACAACACATTAAATTAAACCGGTCGAAGGACAAGTAGACGAAAATATAAATAAAATAAATCAACGTCTCTCTTGTTTTCCTTTCTCTTATTCACGGCTAAATGTATTTCGCGATAAAATAAAATATATAAAAATGCCTACAGCTCGGCCAGCCTGACTCTTGACCGACCCGGTCAATCGTAATCCCCGTGATTCAAAATAATTATTATAAGTAGTCTAACAAAAATCACACATTTGAAGTAATTGCTATAAATAAGTTTACATCACGATCTCAAACTCAACGAAATAAATATTACAGATAAACTCTTAATAATGTCGCAACTTAATTACGGATATATGGATGCATATGGTCTGGCGCAAAAATATCCGTGTACGGTCGCTGCGTCAATTGGAATCCGTCCACATCAGCGATCTAGCATCTTTTTTACAACGTATGGGCCTTTATACTTTAGAATTAATTTTTTATTTATACCGGCTACAGTCTCTACATTGCGAATTTCAAGATAATCGCTGAAGCCATATTTGCGAACCGCTCTTCTTCGCAAGTTGTATCGCTCGGCGCTCTTTTCTTTTTTTTTCGCTGTGTCTTGTTTATTTTGTCGCTCGCCTTATCTTGTCGGCGAAAATAACTCGCCAGCCCTAGGAATCGCTGCATGTCCTTCGCGCTACGCGGCACCGGATAGTCAACGACGGACGCAACATTCTCGTCGCTCGGCCGGATACCATGCCTACTTACGCAGTAACCTAGGTATTTTATTTCTGTCTGGGCAAAGTGACACTTATCAAGTCGAAACCCTAATCGATTTTCACCTGCTATCTCGAACACTCTTGATAAGATTTTGATGTGCTCGTCCACACCTTTCGTTGCGATCAGCAAGTCATCCAGATAGACCAAAATCTTATTTTCACGGATCAATGATTCGAACACCATATGCACGAATCGCTGAAAAACTCGCGGGGCATTGGCCAAACCGAATGGCATGCTCAGATACTCGAATTGCCCGAGAGGCGTAACGAACGACGTATATTTTACGGACGATTCATGCATCTTTACATGATGAAATCCGTTCTTTATATCCAAGATAGAAAAATATACTTTTCCCTGTAGACGATCGAGATTATCGTCTATCAGTTCCGTCGGAAAATTGTCGCGTATCGTGATTTTATTTAACTCTCGATAATCCACGCACAAACGGCACCCTCCGTCTTTTTCCGCACCAAGACTATCGGACTTGCATACGGGGAACTACTTGGTTGTATAATTGATCTTTTTAATAAGTCATCTAAAATCTCGCGCAGAAGCTCCTTATCCGCGAAGGATAATCGTCGCGGTCGCAAACTTATCGGTTGCTCGTGTTTGAGAGCAATTATCATTTCATAATTGGACGCATTTTCCTCTACTCGCATCTTGTTAATATAATGTGCCTTATACGCTCCGCAAATTCGCGCGGACACCCCTCCGCCGATCGCCGGATTTATTTTCAATTCTTTGCACGAATCAACGGAATCGCTGCCGCAATCGATGTGCATAAGCAAATTAATAGCGCGCTTCTCTTCGGCCCCCGCGATCTCAAGCGTATCGCCGATCGTAACGTGAAGCCGCGGACAGTTCAAAAAATCTCTCCCAAGCAAAACATCGAAAGCCATTGTCTTACGAGGTACCACATAAAATTTCATTTCGATCTGCACCCCGCCGACCTCCAACTGACCGACAAAAGCATCATCGATTTCCAGCTGCGACCCATTAATTCCGTAGAACGGCTGTTCGCCTACCGTGTCGCATCTCGCCTCACGCGGAATTACGTCGTTGCGTACCAAGTTAATAGGCGAACCGGAGTCTATCATCGCGTTTATCACGTACACGCATTTCTCTTTCGCGCTGCTGGGCACAATTTTTACGCGGATCATATACGGTTTAGGAAGATCGACCGGATGCACCATATTTGTCGTAGCGATCCGCGCTACGTCCTTTGATGCCCCCGACGTTGAGGCTTGATTCCGCTTCGGACATTCCCGCGCGAAATGATCCTCCGATCCGCACACAAAACACGCTTTTTTAACTGCGCCCGCCTACAATGCGCCGCAATGTGCCCCGTCTCGCGACAACGATGACACCTTTTCACCCCCTCAGCCGTCGTCGCCTCTGTCCTTTTGCCGCTGGTAGTCCTCAGTCCTCTTGGCTCTATCGCTCGTCCTCTCCTCATCAATCCGAATCTTCTCGAACGCCTTCAGCAACTCGGCTCCTCTCCCCAGATTCAACATCCGCGCCTGGTTTCTCAGTCGCCGATCCGATATTCCCTCGATAACATAATCAAGGATTTCGTCCTCGGCTATCGGCACTCGATTCGCCAGGATCATTTTGTCGTGATAATAGTCACAAAATGATTCGCCTGACTTCCAAGTCCGAGACTCTCTTCTCATGGTCAGTTTACCCGGACGCAGATCAAACAGCTGATCCATCTCCTTGAGCAGATCTTCGATGCTCAATACCGGGTACTCTGCCCTCGAGTAAAACCACGACAGCGCGCGTCCCTTTAGCCGTGAACTAATCAAAATTCGAGTGGCATTTTCGTCCAAGTTGTAGGTGGTTTTCAATAACTGTAATTGCTGCTTTTACCTCCAAAAAGTGTTGTCCGTTCCATCGAACTCGGGAAGCAGCTCTCGAATATTTCGCACGCCGCCCGACGCCGATACCGCGCTGCCCTCCGATGCCGCGCTTCTCGCCGCAGGAGAGCCTCTCACAATCTCTAGCTCTCGTTGCAGCAACTGTTGCTCTCTCTGCCAGCACTCTCTCTCTCGACGGAGTATCTCCAGCTCTCGTCTCATTAAGCTGACATGGTCCTCCAGGCCCCGCTCAGCGAAGCTCCTGTCTCCCAGTCCACGAGCCTCTCCGCTCGCCACCGATGCCCGAGACCTCACGCTCGCCGCAGGCGCCCGAGTCTCCATTCCTTGTCGCCGACGCTCGAACCTCCACGCTCGCCGCCGGTGTCTGAGCCTCCTCGCTCGCTGCCAGCGTCCCGTCATCCTCATCCGACCGACGCGAACAACCCGGATCCTCATCTTCACCCTGCGCGGCCCCCAGCGTCTCCGCCAACTCTCCCCACACGTTCGGATCATATTCGTTTAATCGTTTTATCAGCTCGACTTTTAAACTACCCGTGGTCAGTCCGCGTTGACGAAGAGCGGTTTTCAACTCGGTCACTGTCATTTCACTCCCGATTTCCATCGCGACTGTCTCTCCGGAACCGAATAATTAAACAATAATGTTGCCCGTCGACGCGTTCACGAAAACTAACACTCGCGGCACGTTCCTCGAAATGCGCCTTACCGAGATTTTCCGGATCCTCTCAATGTCAGGACGAGCTCCGAATCCCACTTCTGACGCTGTTGGCCGATGGCCTTTATATCGTCGTCGACAGATGCTCGGTCCTCAGATTCCACACAGATGGATATCGCTCGGGTTATTAATTCAATCAGGATGTGGATTAAAGATTAGTGATATATATATGTATTAAGTTCCAGTTAAAAAATGTATTTATTGCGATCCTCTATATATATATCGTAGAGTCGTTACAGACGCCGAAGATTTTGCTGTAGTTAACGCCGCCAGAATGATGACTATAATTATGATCCCTTTTCTCTCAAAGATCTCCATATTTATACGCATTGTCCAAAAAGTATTCCCACTCCAAAGTATAGGACCAATCGGAGCAGTTTTCATTTAAACAGCTTAAATCGTTTAGTCTTCACAAAAAACAATAACTTTGGCGAACGAGAGAGATTCAGTTTACGGTCGCACAAATAAATAAAAATGTAACAACACATTAAATTAAACCGGTCGAAGGACAAGTAGACAAAAATATAAATAAAATAAAACAACGTCTCTCTCGTTTTCCTTTCTCTTATTCACGGCTAAATGTACTTCGCGATAAAATAAAATATATAAAAATGCCTACAGAAAAGAGGAGAAAGAAGGGGAGAGCTGAAGGGGAAAAGAAAAAAGGGGAAAAAGAGAAAGGAGGTATGAAGAGGAGAATGAGTGGAGGTATGAATGAGGTGTTGGAGAAAGGATGGGAAACTGGAAGCCGAGACGAAGCGAGGAAATAGATAGGGACGACTCTTTCTCTCTCTTCATTAGTTAGATAGATAGGTAGATTAAGTTAGAATTAAGTTAATTGTAAATTTGATGTAAGAGTAGATTTAAGAGTAGTTATAAATTAAATTTGTAAGAAGTTTGTAAGGTTTGGGTACGCTCCTTAAAAGCGCCTTTAATCCCTAAGGGGACAAATAAAGTAATGAATGAATGAAATTATATAATGTTATAAATAATAACATTATATAATGTTATAAATTATATAATGTTATAAATTATATAATGTTAAATACATAAATTAATTAATGAAAGGCTCGTATAATTTAACAAAATTAAACAAATCATATATAGTAGGCCAACTGAACGAGCAAATAAATAAGGTGTAAAAATTTTTATTAATAGTTAAATAATTAAATTAACATTCCGTTACAGAATCGATATAAATTGTAAACGTTTCGACTGCACTACAGTCTTTATCAATACATAAAAGTTAAATATTAAAATACAAAGTTAAATGTTAAAAATACAAAGTTAGTTAAATATTAAAATATAAAATTGAAACGATTCTTCGCTGTTGACCAATAGATATGCAAGGCGATTGGTCTGAGATGCCAAGTTATGCGACATTTGAGCATGATTATCGTTTTAACAAGTCCTTTTCCCCGATATTTCAAGTGTGTGTTGCGAAGTCTGAATACCAAAAAAAAAAAAAAAAATATACTGTACATATTGGATACATGCACAGATTATACATAAATGTGTGTATACGAATATTTGTAGAATATCATCAGGATATACGGTAGCATCTCGCTAAGTCTTTTTTTCAAATTCAATTGAAAGATACCGAAAATATAGCGGAAACCTCAAAATATATCGAAAAAATTGAAAAAATGCTATTGCGTATCATTTACAGGAAGTAACACGATTTCGTAAACATTTGAAACAATAATTTAAAATATCTTATGAACTGCAACATATTTTTCAAAATATGGCTACATCAATCAAAAGCACGAATTTTTCCGCGTAAAATAAAACCTCGACAAAGTTGATAGCTACACTGGTTTCAAAGATAAGAATTTTTTTAGAAATTTTGTGGTTGAAAATGTCACTTTTTTATTAATTGCAAGATACATCGTCGGACTTTTTCAGCCGCCATCTTGTCCGAGATGGGTGACTGCCAAAGCAAATGGTTGCTTAACCTCACGCTTTCTCACGCTTTCTTATCCTCTACTACCAACTTTCACTCTCTCTCGTCCTCTCTTGCCCTCTCTCACTCTCTCTCAACCACTCCCACGTTCTCCCACCCTCTTCCAACCACTCCCACCCTCTCCCACCCGTTTCCACATTCATCCATTCACTCCCAACTTCTTCCACACACTTCACCCTTTCCCATCCACTTTCCTCTACCTCTCTCTCCCCTCCCTTGACCCTTTCTCCCTCCCTTGACCCTTTTGCCCCCTCTCTCTCTCTTTCTCTCTTCACACATACACACACACTCATTCACTCACTCACTCTTTCTCTCTCGCAACAAAATGTGCTATCATTTTCCCACCATCTTGCGGTAGATAGCAAAGCGCATTTTTTAAAGTGGTGTCTCCAGTAGGTTTCCACTCTCATAATTTAATGCAAAAATTCGAAGTGTCTTCTTCGTTCTCGTAAACAGAATTCGATCCTTCGAATAATATTGCGTGTTCCGCGATACGCCATTTGCAGCATAATGGTATTAAAAGCTGCAAGAATAGCTTCTCGCATTTTCGCTTTTGTACCATCACGCCTTTGTTCAATCAAATCTTTAATGTATCCTTATACAAAATAATCTAAGACATTTAAATCTGGCGATCGCGCCGGCCAGATGATTGGGCCACCTCGATCCATCCAACAGTATAGATAATGTCGCGTTAAGAAATTCGCGTGCCTGTCGCGAAAAATGTGCAGGCGCCCCATCATGTTGAAATCATAATGAGCTCTAATGATTTCTAAAAAATTTGTATACAGTTCTCCATTTAAGCGGGGCGGTAGAAAATGAGGACCGATCTGAAAATTGTTGAAATAAATGATTTATTGAAGCTGCAAGAGAAAATTTCTACTCAGTAAAATTCTTACGATTCCAAAGATTCCTGCTCACATTTATTAAAAAAATATTTAAATTATCCACAATTAAAAAACAACACTTTAACAAACTTTTCACAATAGTAATTATTTACAGAAAATCGGAATCAAATCAGAGTGCGGAGTAAGCGGCGGTCGTCAACGTGGTTTTGCGGTTATCTAATAAGCGGTTTGTGATATGTGTTTCACGGCGGAAAGGCGATAAGATGAAAAGTTTCGTCGACGCCCCTTTTATCAACGCGGTGCTAGGGCCCGTCACGTCATCACGCACCAATTGATTTCGATCATTTCAAAAGTGGTGATGTGACGCAAGGGCGCCGAACGTTATTGGCTGCCCGGTTCTCGCGCGGAGTAGGCACGGGCCTGACATGCGCGAGCGGATCGATTATTTTATTGATTGGCCTTCCAGAGCCACGTGATCGCTTTGCGCATGTGTTTTGCGACATCGGCAGTTATATCTCCGTGCGGTACCCGTTGCGGGATTGTTATTTATTATGACATTTTAATTGCCCTAATGATTTATGTACGTAGATATTTTTGATCTGGGTGAATTTTTTCTATTGTTTATTTTACCGCGACGCATGATAATAACAACTGAAATAGATTAGAATGGATAGGCTTACTTACTTGAAATTGCATGAAATAACTCGGATTTATTTGCAATCTCAAACATCCCGCCCGCCTTGTTACGTTGTGACGAAACAATTCGTTGATGATTGCTGGCCGCGGGCCGCGCTTTATTGGTCGGTGATTGTGGCGGTGCGGCTGCGCGTCACGACGCACGTGGTGATCGCGTGTCGCGCTAGACTCGATCAGCTGTGAAATATCCGCCACGTGTTTGGTGAATACCGCGAGTGAGAGTGGTCGCGTAAGACAATGATGCATTATGATGGCATAATTAATGCTCCGTTAGGTGTACAAATGGCGTGTAGTGTTTGAATCGTGTGTGAATTGTGTATTGTGTAAAGTGTGAAAGATGTGACCGGAAGTGTGTATAATTGTGTGTATCGTGTGTGGTGTGCGTCGCGTATCTTTCACGCATCGGTAATCGTCGTGTCTGCTTCAACACCGGAAGCAGGACGATCTTGACGAGCGGACGCATGAGCTCGGAAGACGCGGTCTTGATGGTGACCACGCGCACCACGCCGTCGTCTCCGTGATGCAGCTTCGTGATCCGGGCAAGCGGCCATCGACTTGGAGGAGAGATCTCGGAGCGCACCAGGCAGAGAGCTCCGATGTGGGGTGCCGTCTCATTCTTCAGCCACTTTGAACGAGAGGTGAGTCCGTGGATGTACTCCTTCGACCACCTCCCCCAGAAGTGATCTCTCATTTGTTGTAGATGTTGCCATCGTGATCTCGAGGAACCAGGTTCGTCTTCCTGCAGCGGCTCAGGGATGGCGAGAAGAGGTGCCCCGATCAGGAAGTGTCCGGGAGTGAGCGCTGAAACATCGTCTGGATCGTCGGAGAGTGCCTGCAACGGTCGAGAATTGAGACATGCTTCAATTTGAGTGAGGAGTGTATTTAATTCCTCGAAGGTGAGGGTGGTTTCGCCTATCACCCTCCGCAGGTGATACTTGGCAGATTTTACAGCGGCCTCCCATAATCCACCGAAGTGCGGGGCCGCCGGCGGATTGAAGTGCCAGCGGATACCCTCCTTGGCAGCTGCGCGTGCGACGCCTCGACCCTCCGGAGATGCCGCAATGAAGAGCTCTCGTAGGGTGCGGTCAGCTCCAACGAAGGTCGTGCCGCAGTCGCTGAAGATGTCGGTGCAGAGACCCCGTCGGGAGACAAATCGGCGAAGAGCGGCGATGAAGGCTTCCGACGAGTAATCTGAGACGAGCTCTAGATGGATGGCCTTCGACCAGAAGCAGATGAAGACCGCAATATAGCCCTTGTAGGCCCGGTGACCGCGGCCCTTGCTGGTCCGGATGAGGATTGGCCCCGCGTAGTCCAGTCCAGTGCGGAGGAATGGCCGTGTTGGAGTGACCCGGCTGTGGGGCAGATTGCCCATAGGTGGTTGTGGTGTTGTCGCTCGCCACCTTGTGCAGGTGACACAGCGATGTAATCGCTGCTTCACCGCTGAACGTCCTCGAAGCACCCAGAACCGCTGTCGAAGCAATCCCAGAGTCAGTTGCACTCCTCCGTGCAAGGTCCGGCGATGACAAGAATCGATCAGCAGTCGAGTCAGCCATGAGGTTGCTGGGACGATCATTGGGTGTCTCTCGTCCTGTGGCAAGAGTGAATTCTTCAGACGTCCTCCCACTCTTAACACGCCTTGTGCATCAATGTATGGAGTCAATTTGGCCAACGGACTGCGTGTTGCAACAGTGCGACCTGCGGAGATGGCGGTGACCTCGTCAGGGAAGTGAAGTGCTTGTACTCCTCGTAACCAGTGCGACAGAGCTACTTCCAACTCGTCCGAGGTCAGTGGCCGTCCAGGTGTGTTAGTTGGTTCTGCCGTGCGAAGCCAGCGACGACACCATGCTGTGACTCGTAACAAGCGGTGCAACGACGAGAAGCGAAGAAGGAGCTCAGGTTCCATGACGACCAGGCTCTTGGTCAGTAGGCTAACGGCTCGTCTCTCAGAAAGGTCGTCCTCCTGGGTGTTCACCTCGGCGATTGGCCATGCAGTCTCTTCCTCCAGCAACCAGGTAGGTCCCGTCCACCATAATGTGTGATTTGTAAGTTCCGACGGAGTAACGCCCCTTGATGCACAATCCGCAGGGTTGTCTTGACCCGCCACGTGTCTCCAGAGTGCATTTGGCAACAGGGTTTGGATGTGGGACACCCGATTGGCAACGAAGGTCTTCCACCGCGAGGCGTGTCCTTGGATCCACTGAAGCGTGACCTTCGAGTCAGACCACAGATGAGTTGGTGTGTCTGTCAAGTCGAGCGTGGTTTGAACATGCTGTGTCAACGTGGTGAGTAAGGCGGCGGCGCAAAGCTCGAGTCTTGGCAAGGTCACTTGCTTGACAGGTGCCACCTTGCTCTTGGCCATTAGCAGCTTCACTGACGTTCCCTCTTTTTCAGCGATGCGGAGGTATACGGCTGCGGCGTACCCTCGTTCGGATGCATCGGCGAAACCATGGAGTTGCAGCGATGAGTCTCCAGTGCCTAGCCAGCGAGGTATTCTCAGGCGGTCGAGGAGATGGAGGTCACCCAGCAGTTGCTGCCAACGATGAGCGTCGGCTGTCGGCAGTGGGGCATCCCAATCCAATCCCTGAAGCCACGTAGTCTGGATGAGGATCTTCGCGCGGATGACGACTGGAGCGAGCCAACCCATTGGATCGAAGAGACGTGCGGTTTCAGAGAGGACATGTCTCTTCGTGTATTCCTTTATAGACGGTGGACGCAGCACGAAGGAGAACTGATCGTCTTGAGGATGCCATCGAAGTCCTAGCGTTGAGTGGCTCTCCCCATTCCATGAGTGCTGCGATTGTTGCATGCGATGATCCTGCGGGACGCCTGTCAGTATCTCCTCATTGTTGGCTGCCCACTTTTTCAACGGAAATCCACCCGCCTTACAGAGGTTGCGTAGTTCCGTCTGGAGGACGATTGCTCCCTCGAGGGTGGTTGCTCCGGTGACGACGTCATCGACGTAGCAATCCCGTCGCAAGGCCACAGCGCCTCGAGGAAAATGCTCCTCTTCATCCTCAGCTAGTTGGTGAAGAGTCCGTATGGCGAGGAATGGAGCGCAACCGAGACCGTAAGTGACCGTTCTCAACTGGTATTCCTGCACTTCATCGTCCGGAGAATGCCGCCACAGGATCGTCTGGAAGCGACAATCGTCTGGATGCACGAGAATCTGCCGGTACATCTTTTCTATGTCGGCGACGAGGACGTAGCGGTGTTGACGCCATCGGAGCAGCACGTCGGCGAGTGTCGGAAGCAGGTTTGCACCAGTGAGGAGATGCGTGTTCAGCGCTTCCCCTGCTCGCGTTCGCTGCGATCCGTTGAAGACGACCCTCAACTTGGTGGTGGTGCTGGATTCCTTGAAGACCCCATGATGTGGTAAGTAACACTTGTCTTGACGATCAATTACCGCAGTGTTTAGCATCGTCATGTGTCGCAGGTCTTCGTATTCCCGCATGAAGCTGCGGTAGAGGTCACCGAAGCGAGGATCCTGGACGCAGCGTCGCTCCATGGCTGTCAGGAGACGTTCCGCTGGTCTGCGAGTCTCCTCCAGTGCTGTTGGCGGTGAGGAAAATGGCAACCTCACCACATATCTCCCAGCGGCAGTGCGGGTGTGACTGCGCACAAAGAGCTCCTCACATCTTTGTTCGTCGGGAGTGAGGGATGCGACAGCGGTGGGCTCCTGTTCCTGTTCCCAGAATCGACGCACCAGATCAGCGAGGTCATAATCAGCGGTGCAGCGGAACGTGCGGCGGTGATCCTCGGTTGCTGTTGCATCTGACCCCCCGGAGAGAATCCAACCAAGCATGGTCTTCTGGGCGATCGGCATCTCTGGACCGCCCTTGCGTACGCCCGCCTCGATAATAAACGAGCAGACCTCCGCTCCCAGGAGTAACTCCGCGGGGTCGTCGTCCTGGAAGGTTGGGTCGGCCAGCTGGAGGCCTTGAATGTGAGGCCAACGTTGGTTGGTCCTTGATGCGGGACCTTGCGTCAGCAGGAGGCGCGGCAGAACGTATGCCACCACGGAGAGCTTGGCGTTGGTCACGTCTGAAGATATATTCAGCGTGACCTTGCCGCGGGTTGGCCCTGGACGGGCTCCTCCAACCCCGAAGATGGACAGTCCTGTGTGAACTCGAGGTAGTCGTAATCGTTGAGCCACCGTTTCGGAGATGATGGACAGCTCAGAACCCTGATCGAGTAGAGCTCGCACTGCGTGAGGAGATCCATACCTGTCAGCTATGTTGACGCGTGCCGTTGCTAGGAGGATGGCCTTTCGATCCTCGCTCTGATGGGTAGTGGCTAGTGTCGTGGCAAGTGAGGAAGCTGATGCGGCGGCAGACCTGTTGACCTCGGAGGCCGGAGACGCGGTGTGTGCCTCGTGCAACATTGTGTGGTGACGTGCGTTGCAAGTGAAGCAGTTTTTCTTCGATTGACATCGTGAGAGAAAGTGGTTCCCCAGGCAATTGTAACATAGCTTGTTCGTCTCCACGAATGTCTTTCGTTCCGCAGAGGACTTGGCCTTGAACTCACGGCAGGCCATGAGCGTGTGTTTCTCCCGGCACAGTGCACATTGTGGAGATGCCGGTCCGTGCTTGGTGACGTGAGATTTGGCCGCTCGTGCTTCGCCTGAGTGTTTGTTGATCGCTTTCGGTCGTACAGCGTTGAGTGTCAGAATCCGTCGGCTAATGAAATCGAGAAGTGTTTCGAGCGATGGTGGTTCGGCGGATCCTGATGTGGATGACTCCCATTCGAGGCGAGTGGTTGCGTCGAAGAGCTCCGTGACGAGGTAATTGAAGAGGTCCATCCCGTGCGTGTCGATCGGACGACCGATGCTCTCCTGCGCGTTGACGACGGTGGTGGCGGCGTTATGGATGCGACTCAACTCATCGGCGGTATCTCCCTTCATCTTTGACACGTTGACGAATGTGGCAAAGTTGGAGCGGATAAGTTCTCTCTTGTTCTCATAATGTTTGCTCAAGATTGCCCAAGCGCGATCGTAATTGTCGCCGGTGACAGGTAATGATCGTATTAATTTTTCAGCTTGTCCGGTCACGCTCGAACGAAGATGGTGAAGACGCTCGATGTTTGAGATCGACGTGTTGTCTCCGATGACGGAGAGGAAAAGGTCTCGGAAGGATGGCCAATCTGCGTAGTTGCCAGAGAACAGCGGCACCTTGATACGCGGCAACGAGGACCTTGAAGCGCCCTCGGTATTCCGGCGAACGGGCGACGGAGGAGACTCCTGGAATTGCTCGGCGTAGCCATCCAGCAAGCTCCGTTGTGCCACATAGAGGTTTTCGGTATCCTCATGCAATCCTGATTTGACATAATCGCTTTCATTGAATTTATCTTTCAGACCTGAGCGGATGAGATCATGCTGCGTCTCAAATTTCGACCACAACTGGTCAATGATCCTGGTGCGAGTGGTGACGGCGCTGGCGGTGATGTTGGCGTTCCCCAGCTTTCTGAGATACTCTACTGAGCGTGCGATGCGAACTTGGACTTCACGCTGACAGTCAATCAGCGTGGGCAGATCCATCTTCGATAGTTTGCTGGATGCTGGCGGACACTCACTTCACGCACCGATGGAACTCACGTTCGCGAACTTGCGGGTGCCGGCTCAACGAGAGATCCGGCTCGAAGGACCAAAAATATATGTTCACGTACGCGATGCGAGAGAAAGGATCGCGCGGCACCAAAGGATGAGTCACTTTTATATTTGAAAAAAAGACTTTAATATTATCCACAATTAAAAAACAACACTTTAACAAACTTTTCACAATAGTAATTATTTACAGAAAAATCGGAATCAAATCAGAGTGCGGAGTAAGCGGCGGTCGTCAACGTGGTTTTGCGGTTTATCTAATAAGCGGTTTGTGATATGTGTTTCACGGCGGAAAGACGATAAGATGAAAAGTTTCGTCGACGCCCCTTTTATCAACGCGGTGCTAGGGCCCGTCACGTCATCACGCACCAATTGATTTCGATCATTTCAAAAGTGGTGATGTGACGCAAGGGCGCCGAACGTTATTGGCTGCCCGGTTCTCGCGCGGAGTAGGCACGGGCCTGACATGCGCGAGCGGATCGATTATTTTATTGATTGGCCTTCCAGAGCCACGTGATCGCTTTGCGCATGTGTTTTGCGACATCGGCAGTTATATCTCCGTGCGGTACCCGTTGCGGGATTGTTATTTATTATGACATTTTAATTGCCCTAATGATTTATGTACGTAGATATTTTTGATCTGGGTGAATTTTTTCTATTGTTTATTTTACCGCGACGCATGATAATAACAACTGAAATAGATTAGAATGGATAGGCTTACTTACTTGAAATTGCATGAAATAACTCGGATTTATTTGCAATCTCAAACAAAGCTGCAAGAGAAAATTTCTTAGGTTACTCAGTAAAATTACTTACGATTCCATACGCAGTTATTCCTGCTCATACATTTATTAACCAATGATATTGAAATGCGTGCTCCCGAATGACGTGCGGGTTTTCATACACCCACAATATAAAATTGCATATATTAAAAATACCGTTGGGCGTAAAAGTGGCTTTATCAATCCATAAAATGCAGTTGGAAAAAAAGTCATCCCGCCGATATTGCGCGAGTAATCCTGTGCATGTTCATCGAGTATTAATATTTTTTAAAAATAATAGAAAACAAAAATTAATAAAATACTTTAAATAAATTAATAAAAATACTTTCACAAAAAATAGATGCATTGTTCATGGTCTCTCGGCAAAAGTTGCTGAACTCGCTCAAAATTAAATGGATGTAATCCATTTTGGCGCAAGATACGATGCACCATGTGTCGCGAGAGATCAAGCATCATAGCTAAACGGCGCACATTAGTTTGGGGGATTCTCCTCCACTGCTCTAAAAATTCTCTCCAAGGTTACCGATGAGAAATAGCCAAAATCTTTGTGTAAAGTAGCCCAAAATCGTCGCTTCGTATACCAACTAATCAGATGCAAGCTTGTCGTTTGTCATGCGTATGAAAACACTATTAGGGTCATTCCACAATAGGTTGCACATGTTCTCGTTGTCAGTTGCAGATTGACCAATCAGAGCAAAACAACTTGTCAGCTAATTGGTTAATCCACAACTGTCATCTAGCAAAGAGGATATTTGCAACCTATTGTGTAATGATCCTTTAGGAATATATCGTAAAATCCGTTTATTTTATTTTAATAAAATACATTTAAATAATCACTTCTTTTATATTATTTTGATGACCAGTATAAGTATACAATAAAATATCTTTGAACAATATAAAAAAATATAATATTTCCGCTATGCTACGATGTCATTGTCATCCTGTGCAAATAATACCATCACTTCGTTTAAGCAATCTTTTAACTCATCGTTTATAGTTGTCTGAAATATTTCCAATTAACGATCGCTTAATGCCATACATTTTCGACATGAATTTCTCATACATAAGTTTCGATGGCACAAATTTTTGACAACAAATCTTTCTTGCGTATGCGTTCGTATTCTAAAAATAGTATCAAGCATCGTAAAATTCAATTTGTTTCAAGGTTTCGTTTTAGTGGCATTCATCACTGAAAATACTCGTTCAACTACTGCATTATTAAGTGGTAATAATAAAATTTTTAATGCAAATTTCGCCAATTTCTCGAATGGTTAAGAACCGCCAACATCTTTATACACACGAACGTTAGACCAAAATGCAGTAGAACTGTTCATAATTTGATCTGCAAAGTGTGATGACCAATCGATAAAGGGCAGTTTGCACAATTGATTTTCTATTTTGGTAAGCTCAGTCTGCTCGTCAAGTAAAGCTGTCGGCAAATCTTTCATAGATATTTTTTTATTGTGCTCAAAATTTTTTTTGAACATAATTTCATCAATGTCTTCCAAATTGATACATTGCTTGGACATTTAAGAAACTCTTTTAGTAAAATAATTAAATACTGATGGCATCGAGTTTTGACATCCTCCAAATCTTCTGTTTTTAAATTATAAATACGCTGTAGCTACATTTTTGAACTCGATCACGAAATTCATATCATTCAATGATAGCAGAGCTAATTCGTTATTTAATGCTTCTTCTATGCAATGGAATTTTGCCTCGGTTTCAATCGCATTTGTTATAAACAGCGGTTTAATAATGCAAGTAGCAACTGACAGTACAAGCGCCGTTAAAGTTTTATACATCTTTGTAATTTCTTGCTGCGTACTTTGAAGTGAAACATTTACTTCGTTAACTTCATGTAAAATCGATTTCAAAAAGATTAAATATAGGTGATTTGCCGAATCCTTAAACATGCTGCACAATGTTCGCGCGGTATAGCATTTCTCTTTTCCCGCGGCTACTATTTCGAAATGCGTTTTCAATTCCAACCATTGATACATTATTCGCTTTACGGCTCCTTCCTAGGCCAACCATCGCGTTACAGATAATTGTACAAGATTAAGAAACGTCTTGTTATTATCATTGATCAAAGTGAATAAATCTGCATAATCTGCACGTCTCAATGGACTATTCCTGAACCAATTTTTCGTTTTTTGTACAAAAAATTCAAGAGAAGAGGGCAATGCTTCCGATGCTTTTGAATTACATATGTGCAGCAAATGGCAAATACATCGTACAATCTAGAGCTGTAGCAATGGAACTTTTTCTTTTAGAAGTGTGAATAAAGAATTATTTTTTCCACACTAGTGGACTAACACCATCCGTGCCTATGCCTATTAAATTTTTTACAGGCAAATTAATTTCTTTTAAATAATTAACAAGACTATTGTATAAAGCGACTGCAGTCGTCTCGATTATAGTTATTATGCCAAGAAATTCTATTACAATATTATTCTGCATTAAACTGTAATATTTTATGCACATGGCCATATATTTTTTTACTGATATATCAGTCGACTCGTCAATTATTAATAAAAATGGCTCGTTTCTTACATCTTTGACCAATTTGCTTAACAACGCCGGTGAAATAACATTTGATATCAATTTAGAGCATTTGGTGCGGTGCATATGTAATGATTCGAAATTACTTTTCTTTCCAAGCTGTACAAGCAAATCACTCAAATAATCTATACTACATATTGTGTGTAGCTACATATACTGCTAGTTTGAGATCTATTGTCTTATTCTCGTTCGTAACAGTATCAATAGAGCAAGCATTCAGTTTTTTCTGCTTAATGAAAGTTGCCGCATTATCTCAATGTTCGTCTTATTGCTTTTCGAGATCATTTTTTGAGCACATAAATCTGTCTTGCAATAATTGCAATACGCTTCTTTATTTGCCTGGTTAGCATTATTGTTACGTTGTAGCCATCCTAAACAATAATTACGACAATCTGGAAACTCGCTATTCATATATGTACATTTAACTGGAAACTAGTATAAAACACAGGCCCGATTTCACTAATAGGAATAAACAGGGAATAAATGCTATTCTATCGCTATCGTTATTTCTGGCTGCTTTTGCAACAGATTCAAAATAATTCAGACTTAAAATCTGAAATTTTAAATTTGACCAATCACAACACAGAATCATTTAAATCGGGATTATTTTGTCTCTGTCGCAAAAGCAACCCTAATGATACTGATACTTTTTATTGACTAAAGTCATTGGTACACAATACGATTTTTGTACTAGATTTAAAATTTAGTAAGATACTAGAAAATGCTACATTTTGATGTATTTTTAATATATTATTAAATCTTATCAAATCTAATACGAAAAATTGTATCGTGTGCCGTTTACTATTAGGATTTTGAAAAATTTAATTAGTAGTAAGTACATGTGTAAAATTATAGGTTAAAATGTTATTTCTTTTTGTCATACCACTAAACTCCGGCAAAGCTTGTTATGATTCTTTGTACTTCTTTTCGTATTTGCCAAACTTTCCCATTGTATATCAAACAAATATATAATAATATGTAATATATATCTAGGATCTTCTATCTATATTAATTGTTAAGCTATTGTTGCTAAACAACAGACACTTTCGCAATTGTTATAGTGATCATGCAGAACGGATCTTAGCTGATAACAGTGAAGTCCCGTCGGTAATACGTACATGGGGTTACCTTTTTTCGGACACCGCCCGATTGGACACAGGCCTTCCCATTGGTTGATGTAGCAAAAAACTCTAAGCACCGGCCGCTATAATTAGCTGTGCCCAATATCAATCGGGACCTTCCCCGTATATGTTACCACACTCGAAACTAGATAAAACTCGAATAAAGGGTGTGTTCGGCATACAGACTTTCTAGGGATTTTCAACTTTAAACCCCTAACAAATTCCAAACAAATTCATAGTTATACAACAGCAGATGACATGCCTTGTAATGAGCATTTATAAAAAGTAGAAAAAATCTTGTAAATATAGGAGTCCAAAATCGTGAAAGTAAGATTTAATAGATAGCCTATTTGGGCGACAGGCGATTTCTTAAATCTTTTTGTCGTCATTTTGTTATCTCTGTGTTCGCCATCGTGTGCACGTAAACATTCCTGTTGACTCTGTCTCTCTCATTTGCGGTCTGCAT